CTGAAAATTCTAGCCAGAGCAATATGGCAAGAAAGAAAGAAAAAAAGGGCATTCAAATTGGAAAGGAGGACATTGAACTATCCTTGTTTTCAGAGGACATAATCAAATATATAGAAAACCCTAAGAAATACACCCCCAAAATGCTAGAACTAAAAAATAAATTCAGCAAAGTTGGAGGCATCACACTACCTGAGTTCAAAATATACTATAAAGCTATAGTAACCAAAACAGCATGGTACTGGACTAAAAACAGACAGAAAGACCAATGGAACAAAATAGAGATCCCAGAAATAAACCCACGCACTTACAGCCAACTAATTTTCAACAAAAGGATCAAGAATATACTAGTGAAAGGATAGCCTCTTCAATTAATCATGCTGGGAAAACTGGATATTCTCATGAAGAAGACTGAAACTAGACCCTATCTCTCACCATACACAAAAGAAACCCACGCACTTACAGCCAACTAATTTTCAACAAAAGGATCAAGAATATACTAGTGAAAGAATAGCCTCTTCAATTAATCATGCTGGGAAAACTGGATATTCTCATGAAGAAGACTGAAACTAGACCCTATCTCTCACCATACACAAAAGACAACTCAAAATGGATTAAAAACTTAAATTTTTAAGACACAAAATTATGAAACTACTTGAAAAAAATATAGGGGAAATGCTTCATGAAATTAGACAGGGTAAGGCTTTTTTGAACAAGACTTCAAAGATACGGACCATAAAAGCAAAAAATAGACAAACAGATTATATCAAACTAAAAAGCTTCTGCACAGCAAAGGAAATAAGAAGACAACCTATGGAATAGAAGAAAGTATCTGCAAAGTATGCATTTTACAAGGGGCTAATATCCAGAATATATAAGGAACTCAAACTCACCCCTACAAAAACAAATCTGATTTAAAAATGGGCAAAATACCTGAATAGATATTTCTCAAAAGAAAACATACAAATGGCTACAAGCACATGAAAAAAAGCTCAAAATCACTAATCATCGGGGAATGCAAATTAAAACCACTATGAGATATCATCTCAGTCCAGTTAGAATGGCTATTATCAAAAAGACAAAAAACAACAAATGCTAGCAAGAATGTGGAGAAAAGGGAACTCTTATACACTACTGGTGGGAATGTATATTAATATAGCCATTATGGAAAACAGTATGGAGATACCTCAAAAAATTAAAAATAGGGGCCGGCCCGGTGGTGCACTGGATAGTGCGCTGCTTGGGAAGCGCGGTGGCGCTCCCGCCCGAGGGTTCGGATCCCACATACGGACCGGTTCCCGCTCACTGGCTGAGCGAGGCGCGGGAGCAACACCGAGGGTTGCAATCCCGTTGCCGGTCCCCGGTCCGGTACGGGGGCAACACTGAGGGTTGCGATCCGTTGCTGGACACGGAAAAAAAGACAAAAAAAAAAAAATAAAAAAATAAAAAAAATAAAAATAGAACTAACTTTTGATTCAGCAATCCCATTACTGGGTATATAGCCAAAAGAAATGAAATTGGTATATTGAAGAACACCTCCACCCCCATATTCATTGCAGCACTATTCACAATACCCATGAGAAAGAATCAGCCTAAATGTCCATCAAAGGATGAATGAATTTTTAAAAAGTGGTAGATAAACACAACAGAATACTATCTAGTTATAAAAAAGAATAAAATTCTGTCATTTGCTGCAACATGGATGGAACTGGAGATGATTATGTTAAGTGAAGTAAGACAGGCACAGAAAGACAAATACTCATGATCTCACTCATATGTGGTATCTAAAACAAGTGGTTCTCATAGAAGTAGAGAGTAGACTAGCAGTTACAAGAGGCTGGGAAGGGAAGAGGAGAGGGGAGAGAAGGAGATTGGTCAAGAAGTATGAAGTTACAGTTAGATAAGGAGAATAAGTTCTGGTGTTCCAAGTTGATTATAGCTAGTAATAGTGTAGGATATAAGAGTACTTCAAAAAGTTTGTGGAAAGATTCGATTATCTTTCAATTCTATTTTTCCATGAACATTTTGAAGTACCCTCTTATATTTCAAAATAGCTAGAAAAGCGGATCTTGAACTTTACTAACACAAAGAAATGATAAATGCTTATGTGATGGATGTGGTAACTACCTGGAGGGGATCCTTATACAATATATGCATTTATTGAAATGACATGCTGTATTCTATAAACGTGTACAATTAAAAAATAAATTTTCAAAGAAAAAAAAAGATGGGGAGGCAGCATAGCATAATGGTAAACAGCACTGGTTCAAATCTAAGTGCTACCAGGAAATGGCTCAGTGACTGTGGGAGAACTGTGTAATCCACCTGTGCCTCATTTTCTTATCTCCAAAATGGTAATAACAATAGTACCTATGCCTGTAGAGTTCCTGAGAGAAATAAATATGGTTTCAGAATTAGAGTACTTTGCACAGTGCCTGTCACACAGAGCAAGAACGCCACAAATGGTTAGCTATTATTCTCACCAGCATCTTTAAACGTTAAGTCCAGGCTAGGTAAATCAAGTATATAGGTACCTCTTTCACATACATACACATACCACATGTACCTGTATTAAGATGAGCCAAAATAAAAAATTTCCACTAAGAAATTACTTAAGGTTCAGAAGCATGCTCCTTCAAATATGGCCAGTACAAAAAAACCTAGAAAAGAACATTCACCCTCACTAACACAAAAATGAAAAGTAAAACAAGATTTTTTTGCCTATCAAATTAGCAAAGATTTTAGAATTATTAAAATGTCAGGACTGTGAGGTGAAAGACAGGTACTCTTATCTGTAAAAATAATTGATACAATGTTTCTGGAAAACATTTTGGCAGTATGTATCAAGAGCCTTAAAATACCTCTGCCATTTTCAGGCTTACATATCTTTAGCAGAGTTACTTTCATAGTATCAAAAAAATTTGGAAACATCCTTAATATCCATCAAGATGAAATTAAATTACAGCGCATCCGTAAAAGTAGAGCACATGCAGCTGTAACAAGATTTCTGGAGACATGAGGGAAAATCAGGATGTATAAGTAAGCTAATGAGTCCATTTATGATTTTCTTTTTTAAAGAAAGATAAAAATAAATAGAAAAATACATGAAGAGAAGTAGGAAATTCACTAGAATATATTAATAGTTTGTTTCTAGGTTTGGGGAGTCCAGATGATTTTTGTTTTTTTTTCTCTGTAACTTCCTATGTTGTATAAGGTGTTCTAAAATGATATATGCATTACTTTTTTGTTGTCGCTGCTGGCAGCTGGCTGGTACAAGTATCATGTTTATCAAGTCAGAAAAAAACTGTAAAGCTTATTTAGTAAAATATGGCTGACAGTGAACAGAGTCATTCCTGTTCATTCCACTAAAAATAATGTCACTACTGATAATGCCATGATCAGCAAACTTCTTTCTATCAATCCAAATTCAACAAATCACACTGATATGAAATAATTTCACTTTCATAAATAAAGACTGTTCCCTGTCCAAATCATAGGACTAAGCCCTTAAATCCTGGGTCTACCAATATGGTTACAGGCTGTCCCTAATGTCAGTGACATGACAGAATAGGTCCTGATGCAATACCAGTCCTTTCTTAATACAAAAGGCTTACTGAAGTCTCGGCACTGTCTAAGTAAGAGTTGTGAAATGTCTTGATGGTCTGACAGAATAGGTCCTGATGCAATACCAGTCCTTTCTTAATACAAAAGGCTTACTGAAGTCTTGGCACTGTCTAAGTAAGAGTTGTGAAATGTCTTGATGGTTGCCACTGTCAGCCCTTTCTTCCCTCTTTTTTTCCTTTTAGATAAAAGTTGAGAACATCTTTGAAATCACTAAGCATTTCCAGAGTGCCATACACTGTGAAAAGCTCTTAAAATATATAATCAGTCATCTCCCCTCCATTTTTATATATAACTGTAGAAACACACGGCTTAAACTTCTGAGCAAAAGTAAAATTCATGAAGTATACAATAGGCCGATTATAATAATATTTTATAATATTTTATAATACTTTAGAATATTTATAATATTCTAATAATATTTTATAATACTTTAGAATATTTATAATATTCTATAATATTTTACTAGAATTTTAGAATATTTATAATATTCTATAATATTTTACTAGCTTTCACTTCTTTAAAGGTTGTATAATAAATTAAATCAGCATTATTTACTCCTTTCCTGTATAGATATTTATTCATCTTCAATGACTAATTCAGGGAAAGGAGGAATAAATCTTACATTTTAAAAGTTTAAAAGTGTAGACTGTCACCTCAGAACTTCACTAATTTAGTAAATTCCTTAACCAAACTGGTATGGAAATATTCGTATGGTTGAATATAAACGTTGACCAGAATGCACATTATCTATTTATCTAGTAATGATCGTAACAATTCTATATTCTTGATGCTAAATCTGATATGGTATCAAGATTTTCCCTCACAAGTTATTACATGATTATCACAGGAAAGCATGATCAAAGAACACAAGTCTCCATGGCTGCTTCCTGAGAGGCTGCAGAACTGCACAGTGAGGATGATAAAACATGGTTCAAACTGGGCTTTTCCAAGGGTGAACGCATGCACACAGAGAAGTCAAACTGGGAAAATAAAGACAGGAATCTCGATGCTTCAAAGTATAACATTTCACCTTAACACTAATGTAGCCTGTGGTCATCTGTTTACCAAACAAAATGTGTGTAGATGTTCTGTAAATATTAAAATACTAGACGTGTTTAAGGTGTTACTACTACTAGTATTTGCACTCATCATTCTTAAGAAATTAGAAACAACAACTGTTCCTAGGAAATGAAAGCGAATTGTACCAAAATATGGGGGACAATATATACTTCGAGGAGACTATTAATATTCAAATTGCATATTCTTATTTATCACAATAACACTCTTCTTAATACATCTTAGTTAAATAAAATATTTGCCTCCTAGAAACAGCAATTTCATCACCAAGACACAAATGAAAAATAGGAATAAATACTTACTTTTAATACCAAACTGTCCCCAGAACAGAAGTATAGCAAAAATTGGGAAAATAACAATGAGAATATTTTCATTTGGAGAGAACCATGAAACTAGGAAGAAAACAAAAATTACAATTAGTATCTACTATAATCACTTTAAATCCTGCTAATGGTCCATAACATATATTTTATTGGAGAGATGAAAAATAAATTAATTAAAGCCATGGTATTACTTTATGTATACACATACATATACAGACACATACACATATAGACATACATACACACATACATATGTAAACATATATGATGTGTTATACACATGTATGTATACACACAAAATAAATTACATATCTTCCAACACTTACTTATTAGCTGTAGCAGCTTTTTTCTAGAAACTTATAAGGAATCCAAGAAAATGATTCTGTAATACGAGTTCTTCAAGGGTGTTAAAATTATCGAATCAACACTAATTGATCACTCATAAGCAGGGGTTATCACAGTTCTCGTGTTCCTTTTATATGTTTGTTCCAATATAAAGACAAAACAGTTTGGTGTCAGGAGTAGGCAGTAGCTCAGATGAACACAGAAAAAAATTAAAAACTGAAGGAACCGAGAATATCACTTTGACTCAGTTAAGTTAAATGAATGCATATCAGTAGAGTATAATCCAAAAGAAAATTTTTACACATAACATCAATTTTTTTTTCCTTTTTGTCTTTTTTCGTGTCCGGCAACAGATCGCAACCCTCAGTGTCACGCCCATACCGGACCGGGACCGGCAATGGGATCGCAACCCTCGGTGTTGCGCCCGCACCTCGCTCAGCCAGTGAGCAGCCGGTCTGTATGTGGGATCCGAACCCTCGGCAGGAGCGCCGCCACGCTCCCAAGCGGCGCACTGTAGCAGTGTGCCACCGGGCCGGCCCTATATAACAAATTTTATTTATGAAACAAAAAGTCTACACTTACTTAAGTGTTTTTCACAGTTTTCCTCACCTATGTTTTATGGAAGAAGGTAAAATATATATGGCACAGTAGCTGAGAAAAAGGCTCCGTAGCCATTCTGCTTGTGTTTGAAACCCAACTCTAATTTGTAATCTTTGTAACCTTGACAATGTCTTATTGCCACTCTGTTCCTCAGTGTCCTGAATTGTTACCTGGGTACAACACAGTACCTACATCTTGAAGAACTGTTGTGACTATTAACAAAGTTGACACAGTACAGGCAAAGCGCTTAAAACAAAGCTTGGCACTTAACCAAGTGCTCAGTAAATGCTAACTATGATTATTATTACGTTTTTGTGTGTTGAATGCCTGTACGTGTAAAGTGCCAAGAATTTACCTTCAATTAACAATGAAGTGTTCCTGTAAAGACTGACTCAGGGACCTAAGTGAGTAAGCTGTTCCATTAGGTACATTCCCCTTACTGTGAGTAAGACCAAGACAGATGAGCCCTGCCTTTTCTCAAACTTACTCTGGAATAGAAGACTTATTCATGAATAATCAGGCTTCAAAAGGATTGTTTACATGTAAAGTAACGTGACGGACTTTAGGTTATTAAGGAAGCCACATGTTACTCACACGGTAAAAATATATCCACACATCCTATATAAAGGAAATTGTGATATTAAGGCTTTAAATAAGATTTGTTGAAAACCTCTAAAAAATTAAGTTTAATTGCATCTTACAAACCCTTAAGACTGTAATTTTAGCTATGAAATTTCTTCTCTAATGATAATGCTAAGTAGATGAACTGAAAGTATTTCAAAGTTTGCCTGTACTGGGGGGGACGTGCTATCTGAAGAGCACTTCTGTATAGGCCCCAATCAAGCACTGGCATTCCTCTGAAATCAACACTATTCATTCAAATCCTACACTGCTCTGCCCTTCAGTATTGGCATTTGAGGAACTTTGTGGGCTTTCACTCCATAATACTGCCATGCATTTCTTATGTAGAGCTTCTGATGTTGAAACTTAAAATGCTTACATTAATCCCCAGAATATAATGATATTATTACTTCTATCTTAGAAATAATAGCTTTTCAGAATCTATCATTTTGCCCTATACATACTAGAGTCCCAAAACACTTGCTGTTGAGGGTTACAATAGACATAAGAAGGTTTAGTGAGTGAATGGAAGACAATTTTTCAATGATCTTTTGGTTGTAGATCTCTACCAAGAAACAGATGTTTTTAGATACTCTTAATCAATACCTTAATTTCCAACTGTAAAACTGAACATCTTCCTATACCAAAGAAAACCCACTTCAATACAGACTAAAATCCTACCAAGAAAAACATTTTATGAATTATGCTTAGATTTTCATATCTAATGCCCAAAGAATTTGGTAAAAACTCTATGATCTAATAACTATGTTTAATCAATTTTTTTTCCTTACCCTCTTCCTTTATTATTTTGAGTTGCATACATTACCTTCTCATAATTATCACATGAGGAATTATAAACCCCAATGCCCAAAGAATTTGGTAAAAACTCTATGATCTAATAACTATGTTTAATCAATTTTTTTTTCCTTACCCTCTTCCTTTATTATTTTGAGTTGCATACATTACCTTCTCATAATTATCACATGAGGAATTATAAACCCAAATTTATAGTTGAGGAAACTGAGGTGCAGTGAATTAAATATCATAAGCATCTTAAATTTTTATGTCTCAAACCCCTGATATCCCCTCCACCCCATTCCCCACCAAACCTCCCTGCTCAGTGTTCTTCATTTCAGTAGTGGCAACTCCATTTCTCCTGTGGCTTGGGGCCAAAAATCTCAGAGTTATACTTGACTCCTTGATTTCTCTCACATCCCAAATCTAGTTAGACAGCAACTCCTGCCAGCTGTACCTTCAAAATATAGCCAGTATCTGATATCATGTTCAAGATGAGCTGACAATGAAGTGTTCTTTCACTGTCCTCTCCCCTTACACAACAAACAATCTTAGGATATATTAATAGAAATCTATTCAACAGTGGTCTGAGCACTCATGTTTCACTTACTCCACAAACAGTTATTGAAAGCCCACCACGGGCAGGTACTCCTCCTGGCACTTGAAGGTCCACAGGGAACAATGCAGGGGGCCCTGAGCTTGAGGCAAGGGAGGAGTGGAGGTGTAGGCTCTCAGGGGCAATAAGGAAAGGTCTCTGGGGAAAGGAACTAGAACTGATCCTTGAATGGAAAGGAGCCTGCTGTGGGAAGTCAGGAAAGAAGAGATGCCAAAGGAACAACCAATTCAAGGAAACAAATGATGGCCAGTGTGGCTGGAATTTAGTGATAGAAGATCAGACGGGAAGAGTTTGCTGGGGCAAGAGTATGTCAGGTCTTAACAGCTTGTTAAGAGAGTTTGGGTTTTATTCTAAGATCAATGACAAGTGATTGGAAGGTTTCGAAGAGTAAAAACAAAAAGACCCAATTTATTTAAAATCTTCTTTGGCAGCCATATGGAGAATGTATTATAGAAAGGTAGGACTTATTAGAAACTTATGGCAGAAATCATAATTTGGAAGGTGGAAGGTTATGACCAACAAATGCAGTCCTGAGTTCAGTTTTACTCATCACATTTAAAGATGTAACAGGGGACTGCCCCAAAGGAAGGTGGCTAGAATGAGGATCCTAAAACCATGAGCAATGGCTGAAAGAACTGGGGATTTTTTTCCCTAGAGAATAAACTTGGGAGAAATACTACAGCCCTGCCATTGAGTGAGAAATTACAGGTTAGCAAGTTTTAGTTTCACTTAACAAGAACTGAACTGCCTGATACAGACCAAATCCTTTGAGAAGTAATAGTCAGGGGGCCGGCCCGGTGGCGCACTGGATAGTGCGCCGCTTGGGAAGCGCAGCGGCGCTCCCGCCCGAGGGTTCGGATCCCACATGCAGACCGGTTCCCGCTCACTGGCTGAGCGAGGCGTGGGAGCAACGCCGAGGGTTGCAGTCCCGTTGCCGGTCCCCAGTCTGGTACGGGGGCAACACTGAGGGTTGCGATCCATTGCCGGACACAGAAAAAGACAAAAGACAAAAAAAAAAAAGAAGTAATAGTCAGTAACAGGAGCTAAACTCCAGGAGAGTTGACTCATGTCAGCCATTTAGGTAAAAAGTTTGAATGGCCAACTACCTGGTGTGTGATATAAGCAATTTGTAAATTAGATGGTGAAACAGACTAGGTGACTACTAGACAACTCCAAGAGTCTAGGCAGAAATAATAAGAAATATTAGGAACATATCTATGACAGAAAGTGGGATTAAAGAACAAAAACTATTACTGTCTAAGTAATTCTTACCTGGAGCTTATCAGCATCATATGGAGGTTTGTTCAAGCTTCAGACACTCTCCCTTCTCACTACCAACCCAAGATTTTTATATGTTCCTTGATGGTAAGTGAGTCTGAGGTGGGGGTTGGGGTGGGGGTAAGGAATGCCCATGATTCTCCCGGCTTAAAATAGCTGCTGCAGATTTCTCCTGGAGTTTAGCTCCTGTTACTGACATAAATGTGTTATCTCTCTAACTTGTTACTGTGGGAAATGTTTGAGATCATTGAATTGGACATTTAAGAACCAATTATGATGCTGGGGGGAAAAGCCCCAATATTTTATATAAAACAATTTACATACCCATTAAGCTATTGATTTGTTAGGAGAGTGGTGTCAGATGACACTAACTCTTGTTCCCAAAGTGGAGAGTGAGACAAAGTACTTCTTTAAGAACCCTTTCAGCTCTGAATTTCTATGGCACTAAGAAAATAAATTAAACTTAATATGGACTGAGAAGAATATCACACTTTTTTCCATCTCAGGATTAAGAAAGATAATCCAAGGGCATTCATACCCTTATTCCACCCAAGCTATGGCTGACAACTCTATCACTCTCCCCCAATTCCTGGTTAGGTGGAGTGGCTCCCAGGAAAATGAACTTAGTGGTAGAAAGGCAAATAAATTACATTAAGAGGGTATGGTCTACAAATGAGTGTTTAAACTTTGCTTCCAAGCCTAAGTGTTATTAAAACCCAGGAACTCATTTCTCTTATCATTGTGTACAAAAATGGTACAACCTGAAAGTGAAGAGAACACTCCAATCAACTAAGTGTGTCTCTCCTTCAAATACTTCGCTGGCTTTAACTATGCCGGGGGCCATGTGGTAATAATGGGGGAAATCTCTAGGAGGTGAGAGAAGTCCCTGGCAGATATCCAGCAAAAAACCAGGGATCTCAGTCCTACAATCACAAGGAACTGAATTCTGCCACAATTATGTGAGCTTGGACTGGGATCCCAAATTTCAGATGAGAATGAAACTTAGTTGACATCTTAGTTTTAGTCTTGCTTACACAATAACCAGAGTTGTGACCTACAAAACTGTGAGCTAATAAATGGGTGCTGTTTTAAGCTGCTATGTTTGTGGTTATTTGTTACATAGCACTAGAAAACTAATGCAAGAATCTTACAGTGCCTTCATATCATCATTATGAAGAATGTGTATCATGTTCGTAATGATCAAATTGGCAACTCTGTTGAACTTGAACTGACCTTTTTAAACAAAACTCTAATATATTGCTTACTTAGAGAAAAATAAATTTTAAGCTTCTAAGTTTTTGTGTCATTAATAATAAACACAGAAATAGTAATAACGAATTTTGTAACTACTATTATTTACATTTAGTATTTGGTTATGTACAAAGTGTTTTTCACAGGAACCATGTTGGTAAAATACTGGGTTTTGAAGCCAGCTCTTTAGGTTAAAATCCTGGCTATTACTCTGACCTTGAACAAGCATCTTTAATCTCCTTTGCTTCCTTATTTTTGCTTCCCTATTTGTTAAATGGTAGCACCTATATCCATCTCCTAGTGTTCTTAAGAAGATCATAGGACACAACATGCATAAAGCATCTGGCACATGCTCAAATAAATGTTGGGTCATTTTACTCTTCTTATTTTTACTGTGATCATTTCCTTAAAATCAGTGGTAAAGTCTTAGTCATCACTGTATCCATAGTGCCTAGCACAGTACCTGACACATAGTGGGCATTCAGTAAATCTTTGCTAAGCAAGATAGACATTATCTTATTTATATCTTAAATATTCCTCTGATGAAGATGGTATTCCCATTTTACTAATAAAAATCTGAGGGCCAGATAGGTTGAGTTTCTTAATTTCTTAAGAAATTAAGCTAGAAAGTGGTGAAGTATAGAAAAACAGCTTTCTAAATTCAAGTCCTGTGCTACTTCATAATGTTATACTATGCATAGGCACCAGAGTTTAATAAAACTATATCTTATAGTGTTTCCACAAATTCAATTCTAGTGCTCTCCCCAGAAAAGGCAAAAAGAATGGTCAACATTACCACATTCTATTCAATGGAATTCAATTCTCTATTGAGCAATTTCTATTCCTAATTGATGCCTATATTTGCAAAAAAGCACAATATAGTAAAAATGGTTTCTAACGCCTAAATCCCCGAAGTCCACATCATGGGTAAGTATCATTATTACAACAAATTTGTGTTTCACAGTGAGAGTCCTGTTCCACTTAAACTGTTGCGTGCAGAAGAATTTTTTTATTTTTTTTATTTTTTTCAGTCAAAAATGGGTACACTCTCGTGCTGCTGATGGGAATGTAAAATGGAAGAGCCACTCTGGAAAACAGTTTGGCAGTTTCTTTAGAAACTAAGCATATATTCATCATACAAAACAGTAATCATACTTCTAAGCATTCATCCCAGAGAAATGAAAACTACGTCTACACAGAAACCTATACAAATTGTTTGTAGCAGCTTCATTTGTAATAGCCCAAAACTGTCCTACGATAGGTAAATGGTTAAACAAGCTGTGATACATTCGTACCATGGAATACTACTCAAAAAAAAAAAAAAAAAAAAAAAGGAAAAAGAACTAACTACTGATACATGTGACAACTTGACAACTTGGACAGATCTCAAAGACACTATACTAAGTGAAAAAGCCAATCTCTAAATGTGACATGCTGTATGATTCCATTTATACAACATTGTCAAAATGACAAAATTATAGATATGGAGGACAAATTAGCGTTTGCCAGGTTAAAGGACAGTGGGAGGTGTGGGTATGACTATAAAGGGTTAGCATGACGGAGATGTTTGTGTTGATGGAATAGCTCTACATCTTGATTGTAGCAGCAGTTACAAAAATACACACGTGATAAAATGACAGAGAATCATACACACATTGGACCACTGTGAACTTCCTGTTCTTGATACTGTGCTATAGTTACATAAGATATAACTCCTGGGGGAGACTAGATGATGGGCACACAGCCCCTCTCTTTTAATCTTCCTGTGAATCAATAATTATTTTTTAAAAAATAAAAATAAATACAAAGTCAAATGTCTCAAATGTCTGGTAGAATTTTCTACATTCCCCATAATAAAACAATACTTTCTCTTTTTAATGGCCCAAAACATAAGCCCTAGCTCTTATTTTTATAGAGTATTTTGAAAACAAAGACAAAACAATTACACACCAAATTATAAACTTTGTCTTCACCTTGGATACCAGTATTCCTTTCTCATCTATTCCCATCCCATTCTTCATTCTATTTTCTGGCTTTTCAAGTCTTATATGTGGAGTTTACTGTTTATTTCTTGGTCCTCCTCTACATTACACTCCAAAATTACTGTTTTCCCATGTTTTATTCTTTTATTCTCATAAATCTGTACATTCCCTCAGAAAAATTTCAAGTAGGTATTAGATTTTCTAATTCCAGTCACACAAAATGCATATTGATTAGATCCCTCCTGAAAGGTATGTGTTTAAAAAAAAGCCTCCTTAGCCCAAATTAATATCAACAGTAAAAGTTACAATGTAAGAGAGATTTCTGGGCAGAAAATACTTTCAAATTCTCCTTGCCTACTCTGAGCCATCTCCTGCTCATTTCTCACTGAACCCAAGTTCTTCTCACAACACTCCAGACCAGTTTCAGCAACTTGATAGTTATTTCATAAAATAAGCATCACTAACATCTGCACTGACAACTAACATCCGCAACACACCTTGGTTTACAAAGAACTTGTCCACATGTCATCTCATTTGATGCTCATTGGACTCTGGAGAATACATAAAAGCAAGTATTTTCAACCCCATTTTAGAGATGGGGTAACTTGAGATGAGAAGGAAAGTAACTTCTCAAGATAACATAGGTAAATAGTAAGTTGCAGAATAGGGGATATAACTCAGATCTCCTGATTCCCAATCCTAAACAATGTCAAGATATTTCATCAAAACAAACACCCCATTTTCAATCTAGTAACAGACACTGTGTAACAATAAAAGTTAGAAGAATAGAAGGCAAACAGTTGATCCAATTGAACTGTTCTGATCCTATCTAGGTACTCAAAGTATGGTTAATTATGAGACCAGTAACATGTCTGGTGATTCTCAGTAGAGCTTTCAAAACAGAAAGTCAGAATGTACTTATATACACGCTTGAAGAAGTCAGCTAGCACAGCAAGAAATATCAAAGAAAAAAGTCTGTTTCCTTCAGCTACCTTTACTACCTTATACAACTCACCAACCCAACTTTGTGAAGAAAGGGCAAAATCATGGTGCTATAACTATGCTTGAATTCAAACAAATTAGTTTGGATCCCTAGCTCTCCCACATCTTAGCCAAGGAAAAGAATACCAAAGCAAGGCTAAGCACAGAAAACCTCAAGAAATCACCCATGATAGCCTGATCTTTAATCTTCTGATTCTCCTTCTAATATACTCTTTCCAGAGGGAGCATGGCTAGGACTTACCGACCCTTGGTCAAAGTGCAAGGCAGAAAAAAAAACAACAGCTAAATAATTGGAAAGAGGCTCAAAAATGAATCACATGAAAGAAAGTACTTTTGATGACAGCAAACAGAAATGGACAGGAGATGACCCCAGGATCGATCACCCAGATAATATAGTCCTCAGAGGAAAAGTTTGAGACTCACACAATATACAAATTAACAAACAGTAAATGAGTTTTGCTGGGAAAAGTAAAGACCAAATAAGATAGAACTCATGATCTTAAAGTTGCTAAACATTACATCAACATTTATTATTAATAGCCTGCTTTTTGATTCAAAGGAGTCCCTAGCCCCATTTCACTCCATTTCTAATAGGATCAGGTTGTAGCAGGAAAAATAAAAATTAAGCTTTTATAGAAGTCTTACCAACACGATATTTCAGTTCTATGACTGTTTCGCCTTCTCTGGTTAATTCTGTTACTTCACAAGTGTAGTTTCCCAAGATGGCATCACTCTTATTCATCATCAAAGAGGCATCTCCTTTTAGTAACTCTGAAATTGCAATTCTTGCACTTGTAAAGTTATTATACTTGGCAAAGGAGTTTGTTCCATTAAAGATGAAAATGTCAATTCCTTTAAATTTCCACTTTACAAACATTTCTTTAGTGTTTTCTGCTCCCACGTTATTAACAAAGCATGGGATGATGACAGTTTCATTGCAATAGGTGAATTCTACAGATTTGGTTTTATTAAATAATAGCTGAGCTGAACCTGGAAAATAAAAATAAAAACATTTCATTTAATTATAGAATATTATAAGATCTTAAGCATGTTACAAATCCTTAAGATAAAGAACAACGCTTCAATCGCTCACTTAAGCAAGCAGTGCATTGAGGAGAAGAGAGGACTGACAAGGTGAAAAACAGAAACAAATTATTTTAATATTAATGTACACAGCTGGTAGACAACACTATACTTTTTCTTTTTTCATTCTCAGTAAGAATATAAGGTATACATTATCATGCATTTTGGGAATAAATTCAGCAACTGTGTTGATACATGCTGGTGTAGTATCTGGCTTTGGAAGCTTTCGAGTTATCATTGCTGCCTACTGATATATGTAGAAAAATATTGGTCTTACCATGGGAAAATTTTGAACAGAAAATCAAACCAAATATTATATTCAGTCTCAACTTCTATACACATCTTCTAAATAGAACTTGCTAAACATACGAAATTTATCTCTATCCTTATGGTACATTTCCAAAAAAGTGTCAGGTTCTACTGTACTTAAATACACAAAGTAAATTGGATGAATCAAATCACATCTTTCTACTAGGATGGAAAGTCTTAGAATACTAACAAGAAAAAATATTTCTCTGTGGCTATTTTCCCATTGCAAAATACAGACAGCAAGAGACATTTTGTATGCAAGCCTTACAAAGGATTATATACAATTGAATGGCATTTTCCCACCCTCCCATTTCACTGAAACTATAGAACTACAATTCCCAAATATATATTACAGGTATTCCTCCTTCTTCTAAGAAACCATATATCACTCAAAAATTTAAGAAACAAGTTGAAACCAAGAGCAGATAATACTGCTAATAAGTAGAGTATATTCTATCAACTCTTCTCAATAGGATAAACTATCAGATGTTGCCTTACAAAAGTGAGATTGGGTAAATAAATGGAATCAGTCTCCACCCAACTAAAATGTACAAAAATGTGAAGAAATTATAATTGTCTTTCATAATTTTCAGCTATTTATAAACTCTATGTAGTCAGTTGGCTTTTCCCTAAAAAAACAAAGCACTAACAAATATAAATAAAATATCAACTTGTTAAGAGTTCATCTTTAAGATTTCTACCTTCTATATAAACTGGGAATAAAAAGCAGGGACATAGGATGTTACTATTCTAAGAAAATAATTATTATTCAATATGAAACCTATTGAATTGAATGCAAGGATGCATAGCGTAATATGAACTGGACAATGTTCAAAAAACCTGAGTATAAATCCTATCTCTGCCACTTTTTAGAATGCCACCTTAAGCAACTCACTTTTCTATGGCTTGGTTTACTCTCTGTAAATAGGAGGATCAAAAACAAACACTGGGCTACGTTGACAGAATTGTGGTAAGCATCAAAGGAGAAAATACAGAGTCAAGTGTTCTCTAAACAACAATGTGCTATAAAAATGTAGGATGACACTATAAAAACCAGGCAATATGGAATTTTAATGTAATTGATCTAGACCTTTTTTTTCTGGTCCAAATTATTACATATCTGTGAATTTGCAGAATTCTGAACCAACCTCGTGGGTGTCCATAGCTCACCTCTTCCCAGTTCTCTCTAGCCACCCAAATATTAGAAAGCCCCAGGTAAAACCTGAACTTCCGATTGCATTCTTCAAGACCTTAGTGCTATTAATTGTTTCCCCTGAGAGAAAAACATTGAAGGAGAGAGACAAGTGTACAAGGAGAGAATAAAGGGGTGATGACATTGGAATTACAAAGGAAGGCAAGTGTCAGAACATATGTAGAAAGATTTCAAAATAGAAAAAAAGATTACTAGGTGTCCTTAACTAATGGGGTGCTGGGCATTGTCTAATACATCTTTTGGGATTATCTGATTCCATGGAGGCCTGAACCTTTCACTGACTTTAACTGGGCTATTTTTGCAATTTTGTAAGTTGTAGAAACCTGCTGGTAATGCAAATGATTGGTGTCCATAGAGATACAAATAAACTTTGTTCCACCATTTATTACCACTTGGTAGAAGAGAGAATTCCAAAAAATTAAATTTTACTGCCCTGAGGATATTGATCAATTTTGCATATTAGCAAATTCATTTCAGCACTCCTGACTGCCTATAAATGTCTGTTCTTCCAATTTTCTTTTAAAAGAGTTTTTGCCTTCTTACTGGTTTGCTCCTTAATTAATGAGTGACATAAAATCTTTTGGCACATGTTCATTTTACATTTATATGAGCCATAGTTTTACCTTTTAAAAATCATCCTTTAAAAAAAGAGATACAAGTGAAGAGCTTAGTTATCCTATCAGACTTTTTTTTTTTTTTCCTTTTTGTCTTTTTTCGTGTCCGGCAACGGATCGCAACCCTCAGTGTCGCACCCGTCCCACTCCTGCCCCAAACACTCATGTTTCATCCTTTTTTTTTTTTTTTTTTTTCGTGTCCGGCAACGGATCGCAACCCTCAGTGTCGCACCCGTACCGGACCGGGACCGGCAACGGGATCGCAACCCACGGTGTCATGCCCGCACCTCGCTCAGCCAGTGAGCGGGAACCGGTCTGTATGTGGGATCCGAACCCTCGGCAGGAGCGCCGCCGCGCTCCCAAGTGGCGCACTGTAGCAGTGCGCCACCGGGCCAGCCCCCTATCAGACTTTTTGAGAATGCCCTAGGTAGGTAAGAAGTGATTGTCAACACTCCACAATTTCATAACTTACGTTTGGAGAATGAATTTTCTAAAGAATACAGAAAGCACTGATTGCTTATTTGCTGATTGATTACTTGCTGTAATAAAAACATTTTGCGGCTGAAGCAATTGAAGTAGAATAGATGCTGTCTGTAAAATTCAAAGTAAAATTGACCTGGATAAGCCATATTTTGAATAACCTTTGCACTAATAATTAATAAATAAGGGTAGTCCAAAAATATCACTTCCAGCTACAACTTCATCCTCTATAAACATGTACAAAAAACTATTAAGTAATAAAATGATCTGATTTGGGGATTTTCTCTTTTGCCTACTGCCTTCTGATGAAACAGCAAAGTGAAGAAAAGATTTAAAATATAGAGATTAAGTAAGAAAATATAGATAATTAACGTGAATAAGAAAATTCTGAATAAACAAGACATGCTTATAGCAATCTAAATCAGATAGGAGTAGACAAATGTAACCAAAGGTAATGCCAGAGATGTAGGTAAATTAGCAAATAAAATGGGAAAAATATCTTATAACAAATACCAAAAGTATTAGATATTACAACCTCTGTGAATATAGACCACGGTCCTGGAAAACAGCTATGTAGTTGCAGAGAAGGCTCTATCCATGGTAGTCAGGGCACACATGTCCAGCTCAGAAATTTTAAAAATGCAGTAAACATTTGTTGAGAATTACCTGATATGAAACTTGATGATAGGACATGAGGATACAATGAATTATCTTTCAGGAGCTTACAATATTCATATGCGGGATTGTAAGTATTTTCTACAATATGAGGTCATAAGTGTTATCCTTTCTGTACGGACAAAGTGGTATGGATTGGCAGGATCACTTTAAGAGATTCCTAAGGAAATTTGTGTTGCTACTAGGGAATAACAGAAGATTGTTATAGTCCCTCACACCCCTGGGCCTTCAGTCTTTTACCTTTTTACATATATTTAAATAAGTAAAATAATTTATTTTTATATACATTTTCTCTCCTTTTTAATAACCCTTACACCACTCTCCTTTAGCCTCTTATTCTATACTCTCCAAAGGAGTCCTCTCTCCATACTTAACTCAAATTGAGTTCTTCAGAGAAGCCAGAAGCTTCCAATATACCCCACTTATAAACTTACCTGCAACCCCAACTATCCACACCTCTTTTCTTCTCACTTCCTCCTTTTCAGAAATGAATCCCTCTTCACCTGAGAACTGGTTTCCATTTATGCCTCCACACCCATCATCTCCTCAAAGACTTTCCCTAGTTGATTATTAGCCTGCCACATCTCCCTATTGATTTACAAGGTGTCTTTTTAAAAAAACAGTCTTTAAAAAATGCTTGAATATTCACCAATTAAAAAAAAAAAATCCCTCATACTCATCTCTCTTCCCTAGCATCCTAAAATAAAAATCTACATGCATTTTGTTATCTCTGACTCACTCCTTAAGTCTCCGTCATCTGGCCTCTACCGCTCCACCCATACTTCTTCATTCCTACAGCTCTTGCCAACATCACCAATAAACCCTTGTGAAAAACCAAATGTGCATGGTTCACTTTCTGTCTTGCCTTCTCTACAGTTTTTGAGCTAGTGGGCAGCTCCCTTCTTATTTTTGTCTCTTGGCCTCCACGGTACCTCTTGAATATAAATTTCCTCCTGTTCTGTCCACCCCATCCTGGCTTTCTTTCTTTATTGAAATATATTCCTTGACTCATACTAAATGTTAGTGTTCCAAAGGGCTTCATATTTAGCACCTCCCCCCATGTATTCTCCCTCACTCCCATGATTTTCACTACCTGTACCCTTTTTTATTTTTTACTTAACTGGGCCCCATCTTTCTTCTAAATTGCAAATCTTGGACAGCCAACTGTCTGCTATGCATTTCCACTTGGATATACCGCAGTTACTACCTATCCAAAAACCTACTTACCCCCTCCCTACCCTCCTTCCAAATCCTTACCTCCCGAAAGTGTTTTCCATTATCTACCAGTGAATCAGACCTGGATATAGGAATCATGCTAGATTTCTCTCTCTCATTAGGCATGGAGAATTCTTAATTGGCTCAACCTATTTAATACTTCCTAATTCCAATGTCTACTGAATGAATTAATTAAATATTCATCCTTTCTCCTTTGAACTATTGCCATACCTTCCTAACTGGCTCCCTGCCTCCAACCTCAACCTTTCTCCATTCTAGCCTCAAAATAAGTGTTCTAAATGCAAATGTGCACTCCTTTGCTTAATGTGCTTTAACAACACCCCACCCCCCTTTTCAGGCTAAATTCTAAGTGTATTAGCATGGAATACAAACGAGGTCCTTCAAGATCCTTTCCAGCCCCACCTCCTGTTCTCCCTCAGTTCCAAACTAAACTCTAATCATGACCTTCTTGCAAATCCATGAATATGCAAATGCACTCTCATATCCATGCCTTAGCACACGCTGTTCCCCCAGCCTAAAGAGGTCTATACCTTTCACTGGGTGCACAGGGTGTGTAGTAGTTAAGAGCACACACTTTGGAGTAAGACCCTGGTCCAAGATTCAGCTCAAGCATTTCATAGTTGTATAACCTTAGACAAGTTACTTAACCTCTGTACCTCAGTTTTCTCATTTATAAAATTTGAATTGTAATTGTACACACCTCATAGAGATTTTGTTAAGATTTAATGAGATAATAAACATGAAGTTTTTATCATAGTACCTTTCACATACACAGCAAGTGCTCAATTAATGGCACCTACAGTTTGCTAACTTTTGCTCTTGCTAAAGCACAGTTGAGATGTTCAATCCTGCTCTCCTTCCCTACCACCACTCAACTGTACTGGTTCCCTCCTTATTGGTCCCATCGCACCTTGTTCAAGTGCTGTCACCACACCTACTACCAAATATTATAATTACTGTTTTACTTACCTGATCTCTCCATTAGGCTCAGAAGGTAGGACAATGTGTTCATTTGGTATCCTAAGGATCTAACCCAGGGTCCAGAAGGTAGGATTCAATACATTCCTTATGAATGTAAAAACTTTGAAGTATGAATACCAAGAAAGGAAGATCTAAAAACCATATGGGAGAGGACTCACTCTTCTTTCATATTTCAAGAGAATCCTCCACTGCCTCTCACTTCTATAAACCTGATTATGGAATCATGAAGCTGCACATTTTAATGGAAAATCTCATCAGTTGCATGGTTGGATAGAACCTTAAAAAATCTCATGGATGTGTCTAAGAATGATCTTCCTAGAGGGCAATGTTGAAAATAGGTCTTGAAGGATGTCTAGGAATGTTACGGGAAAGAAAGGGCTTTCTAGGCAAAGTAACATATATACAGAGGAATAAAGAAAGTGAATAATTGAAAGTAGAAAATTATTCAGGTAAGCTTTAAGAAGTGAGGTTGGAAAAGACAGTTAAGAAAAACTGTAAAGGCTTCCTTGAATATCACACCGAGTTTATACTTGATAACATAAGTAATAGCAAACCACTCAGATTTATTTTCATTAAAAATAAAAGATATTGACAGCAGTATGAAGGGTGGATTGAAAGCAGGAAGGGAGAAGAGAAAAGGAGATCCATTAGGAGACTACTGCCAACAGTCCACGTAAATGACAACCTGAGAAAAGGCCTTAAAAACCGTAAAAATCAAGAAAGTAAAATCAATAGAAGTCAGATGTGGGAGGGGAGGAAGAGAGAGGGAAAAATTTAAATTGTTAACCAAAATAGTATGTGTAACTAGTTAGACTGTGGATTAATTATAGAGAAAAGAGGCTTGAAGATTTGGAGGAAATTCTTTCAATATTTAAAATAGTCCAAGTATTAAAGTACCTGTGGTACAATGAAATAGAGTTGTCCAGTAGAGCCCCGGATATATGAATCTAGATTTAAGAAGAAAGGTCAGAACTATAAAGACTTGGGAATCACCAAGAATATAGCTAGTAACTGAAATTGTAAACACAAATAAGATTGCCCAGAGAGTCCTTGTAAAGCAAATGGAGCATGTGGCAGAAAATAAAATGTTGGGGAACACCAATATCAACAGTATAAACAGTCATAAGGGAACAAGCCAAGGAAGTGAGAAAAATAAGTGAGAGAAACAGGAGTGGCAGCAAAGAAGACCACTGCAGACACCAAAGAAGGCTCTTAATATGGACAAAACAGATGTTAAGGGGAATGAGTAAAAACAGCCTCTTGGTTAAAAATTACCACATTAGATTCTTTATCTGTAGCAATGTCAATGGACTAGTGGGATTAGATGCATACTGCATTTGGGAACTGAGTCAGAGAGGAGAAAGAAGTGGCAGTTATTCTCTTTCAAAAAATTTGAAAAAAAAAGAGAAAAGGCAACAACTCAGAGTGTGGAGGCAGGGACAGGGCAAGGACTTTTTGGTTCTTGTTTTGTTTTGTTTTTTAATATGGGGTAAAACTTGATCATGTCTTCAAGCTAAGGGCATGGAGTCAATGGAGAGGGAAAGACCCAAGATATAAGACTGAAGAATTAAGCTGATTGTGCCATCTTCAAGACAGTGAAAGTCAAAGAGCAGAAGACAGGTTGTCCTTTCCTTGGGAAGGCGAACAGGTATTCTCCTGAAACTGGGTGAGGGAGGAGAATGAGAAGAAGGTTGCCTGAGATATTATAAATTAGTTTAGTAACGGCAGGAGCGAAGCTGAAGGAGCCCAAACCACACATGACTATTTTTTGCAGTAGAGTAGGAAGTTAATTATCTGCTCAGAATGGATGTTCAGGAATGTGGTGATAAACCCCAGAAGCTATGAAGGTAAATAAAGCAAAGCTCATGAGTAAAGATACCTGTCAGAAATGAATCCTACCAGTATTTCTCTTAGAACTAGCCCCTGGCATAAAGAACTAAAGTCTCAGATTGAATTGGGTTAGGTACAAAACTGAGGATCTAGTCAGATCTTTCCTCAATGGAGACTAAAATAAAGGTCTGGGGGTAAACTGAAGTGTCCACAAGTTATTTAGTTATGACTCAAAGCAATCTCTCCACTGGATTTAAAAGTGGCCTTATAAGAGTGCAAGTGGTTGACCTAGAATTACAGGGGGTAAGGCAGTTTAAAGTCAGTAACATCCAGAATTATCACCTTATCAAGCACTTAAGATATTTTGAGTGCCACCAAGGGATGAAAACAAAAAAATTCCTACTCCTTATAAACTAGTTTACGTTATTAAGGGTCATACAGCCTGAAATTTGTCTACATGCCCAAAAGGAATTTGCAAAGCACTTAGAGCATAGTATGGGCTCTGCTATGGGTCAAATGTGTCCCCCAGAAGTTCATATATTAGAAAACTAATCTCTATCTTAACAGTGTTAAGAGGGTGGGAAACCCAATTATGGTATTTGAAAGGTGGGGCCCTTAAGATGTGGTTAGATTGTGAGGACTGTGCCCTTGCGAATGGACTGATCCATTTATGGAGTAATGGGAATGGTTCTGATGGCTTTATAAGAAGAGCAATGGAGAAGGTTAGCTCTCTCTTGTCAAGGCCATTCTTGCCATGTGATACCCTGTTCACCAAGGGACTCTGTAGAGTTCCGACCAAGAAGGCCGTTACCAGATGTGTTCCCTGGACGGTGGACTTCCCAGCCTCCAAAACTGTAAAAAGCAAATTTCATTTCTTCATAAATGACCCAGTTTCAGGGTTATAGGCAAAAGAGACTAATACAGGCTCATACCTGCTTGAAATGGAAAAAATAATTTTGCCAAACCCCCTCCCTTGCTTTTTAACTTGTAAGTGTGGTATGTATTCAAACATGCACATTAGTTCTCTTAATCTGTATCTCAAACCCTAGGGTTGATCAGATTCTGAATCTTATGAAATTGCTCCCTGGATGTGGAATAAAATATTTAGAGGAGGGTATAGCTTAAATTCCTGTTAGACTCCATGTAATCACAAAGAGGGAAAATCCAGGTTCTGTTGTCTTAGTCTAGGTATATCAGAGTCAAATTTCCCAGGTGCTCTATTTTTTACCTTAGTACTACAATGAGTGTAGCAGAATTGACCCTACATTATTACTCTTGTTCTTTTATCACAAAAGAAAATCTGCACTAGTACACAAAGTGAAAGTAACTTTATGATAACCCAAGAGTGCATTATATTAGGCTGAGACATAAGATATAAAAATATAGAAATTTTTATCTTGTATAAAAAGCTATGACAGCAAAAACCTAAAAGACAGGTAAAGTAGTTGTCTGAAAATTATGGCACCAAAAGAACATTACTGTATTAAAATGAATGCCTATACTAGCTGTAGCTGAATTCACATTAAGGAATGCAGACTTAGTTTTGATAATATGAAAGATTATTTTGGATTTAGAATATTTATCAATTTTGGAAGGAAAAATCACCCACTTTTCATTTTTAGAATTTGGCCTTTCAAATCCCCATTAACAACTCAGTGGCAAAGATGAAACATCTGCCAAAACACAGATGAGAGCATGAGCAAGTGTGTCCTAATGGCAGACATTTAGTGTAATGCTTTTACATAGTGCCTCCACACTGCTGGGGCAGCTACATAAATAAGTGCTATTAAATAAGCATTAACTTGCTTAAAACGGCAACTTGTGTTTAAAAATAATATATTCTTTAAGAAAAAAGAAAACATTTTCATTTAAATAAGCCAAATTTCTACTAAACTGAGACAGTGACAATGGAGTTTTTAAATAATGTTACCCGATTTTAAAAACTCACTTTGAACAAAGAAAAATCATTTAACCACTAAAATGACAGTCTATCACCGTCATTATTTATTTGTTTTATTTACTAGTTATTGAATACCACTGAAACTGATGTGCTTTTTAAGGAAAGTATAATTGGTCATGTGTGTGGCGGAGGGTACATAATAATTCATTCTGCATCTTGTAAACCATTACAGTGGGTTGCAGTTTGCCTGTAATTGGGTGAAATGGGTATTTGAGATAACTTCTTCTACCCCAAAGGCCACTGACACTCTAGAGGTTAGCAGGATACATTACCATTGTTTTATAAATCAAACTAAAAGCAAAAGCAAATTTCAGTACAAGTGAATACACAAATCCATGACTTTCTTACTCATTCTAGATTCTGTATTCAGTCTCCCAAATCCCTTGGTTTATAACTACTTGTGTTCTGATTCTGTAAACATCTCTTCATACATGTTCTTTTGAAACTACATATTAAGCACACACACAAAAACCCATTTTATCTATGACAGACTATCACTTCCTGTTTTATATTCAACACTCAGAACTCAAATGCATAATGCCTGTACTTTGTGGGTCTTTTCAGGTTCATATTAACTAAGCACAATACCAAAGTATAAATTCCGAATTCTATAACTGCTGGGATTTGTATACATTAACACTGTATGTAAATAAATGTTCCGTTATAAGTGATCTTAACAATTACTAAAGAAGAACTAATAGAATTCCTGTCCCCAAAAGTACCATTCCAACAGTTCTTTGTAGTTCATTTGAAAATAGGACCCCTGTTTTAAAAATAGTACATGGTTTACACTTGTTACTATTCAGACTAGCTTTATGCCAACGGTCTGAATTAGTGATTTTATTACTAATTTATATCAGGTTCAATACGAAGCCTTTCTGATTATACAACAGGTATCTGAAAGCAGCATTATTTTAGCTATAATGACATAATGATAGTAATGGTAAGAAGGGTACCAAAGATGATGACGGGAAACACTACCTAACATAAACCATTTACATAATAGAGATCTTCAATACCGACAGCTCCAACATCCCAGGATGCCTGGGGAAGGGGGAAAGCGGTAAGCAGGGTCTTAAGGACATCTTGAAAACAGCTCAAAGTCACAAGCCTTTGTAAAGGGCACATTGAAGCTAATAATCAGTTAAAAATCAAACTAATTTAGCATTCTAAGATAAATTTAACTATTGCTGTTACTGGTACTCAAACTC